TGGTATTGTTAAAATATGCTGAAAATGTTTTAAAAGTATCGATACAAAAACTGGAATCTTTTCATTAAGTTTTATGTTGAAAATCTCTAGAAATGAGCAGAGCAGCACTATGTACTTTTTGTTTGCATAAACATTAAAATAATAGCATAGCCAATACCTTATGTAAACAAATGAAAACCATATCAAATGTGAATTACCATGAAAAATCGCGAGAGCACTGTCACCGCCTCCTGCCATCTGCTCACTAACACTAAACAAACGCATGTTGCATGCAGCGCCTGCGTCTGGGAGACGGTCGCTAACTTTGGTTGATGCAGCACCGTATTCAATGTGAGTTTTTCAAAGCACAGTAATCAACTCCGGTTTTAATGATAATTAAAATTTGAAATGGTAATGCTAGCCATCTGAAGTTTTACTGTGGTTTACCGTGATACTGGTAACCACTTCCTCCCTTCTTATTTACAATTACTCACAAAGTACTCATCTTAAAAACAATTAACATAATTTTTGGCATAATTTCAGAAAAAAGGAATTTATCAGAGACACTGCATTGTGAGTAAAGGTAGCACACCCTTCACTATGGCTGCCAAATGAATATGCAAACGTCCCGTCTGATGTCTGTCTCCCACACAGCCACATCATACTCCACTAAATTGGCTGCCGTCATCCCTTTTCATTTTTAATTAGCTTATTGAGAGATAATTGAATCCTCATTAAGCATTTTCGTGACTCTGAGGGAGCTTGGGTGTGTTCCAGCTCTGCCTTTAGCACCATCGATGTGCCGAGCCGGTGGTACCACCTGCCATGACATCACACAGACCCAGAACACTCATTGGGAGGCTGCTGCACTTCTAATATCATTGTTTTAACCACAGAAAGGACACAACTAATTCAGGACGTTATGACAACACCAGGGAGACGATCCTCTGCGTTATCAAAATGAAACTCGACTTACTGACTACTCTGGATGCCCCCCCCCCCACAAGTCCTCCATCTCCAACCATTTGGTCTTATTTCGATAAGAGGAGTGTCATAAATCTGCCTTTTTATTGATTCTTATCTCATTCGTTTTCTGCTCTCATGATATGAGAAACTCAGAATGCAAAAACACATTATGTAATGAAATTTCCCCCTCAGATACAATAATTCTTAATAACCGAAAGGAACAGTTCCTATTCTTTATTTTTTGCATGTTTTGTGTTGTTTTGTTTTAACATTTAAACAAATAAATGAAGACTCACTTTCACCTTTGTGCAATAAATATGGAACCTTCTGGAGGTTTTTGTGCTGAAGATGTGTTCCATCCGAAATGTCTTTCCATTGTGTAGCATGCTGGTCCCTTTGGTTAACATGTGGAGGAGTTTATCCAGTGTTTATGTGGTGTAATCACCATAAGTTATATTCCTGTAAGCAGTGATTATTGTAGCAGCATTAGGACATCTCATAATAATTAAATAAAATATTTTTTTTATTCTGACCTTTGCCAGAACTCCAAAGCTATTACACTTTTATAATATACACAGCTGAATACTATGTACTATGTACTATATATACAGGACATTGTTTGAGGCTGCTGCAGCAGAACCTCTTATGGAACTTGGATTCTGGGGACTATGGGAAACTGGCAGCCTTTTGGTGTTTAGTTTCATTCTCCTTCTACATGCCTTTTAGACGTAACCCTTCACACTTCAATATGTTTTCAGAGCCAAGCTCCCCTTCCTGTTTCAAACCAACGGACAGTCAGATCTCATTTGCCAGTCAGAGTCAAGTGGGTCAGATCTCTCAGACATGCCTTCTACTACATTCCAGCACTTCCTATGGCCTCACTGAAACAGGCATGTTAGCTTTTTTTGCTCCTATTTGTCATTCTCAATCTCTACAGACTTCCAGTCAGCCACTTCAGCCTGACCGCCCCAGACATACAAACATCATGTACTGAGACTGATTAATATGAGTCATGTGGTGTCATTTTGTGGTTCCTGCAGTTTCACTATAGTAATCATATGCAGAGAACTAACAGTGATCCAATTCTTACTTATGTTTGACTAAATATACACAGACAAGCTAGAGATTTAACACTCCATTACGTTTATAACTGTCCTCCACCTTCATTTTATTTTGTATAAAATATTTCCAAAAATACTGAGAACTTTTTGACTGATTCTGTTTCAACAATGATGGACTGTGATGCGTTTTCAGAAATTGAAATTTTATGTTCTGACTGCCTGTCATTTTTTTGGCTCCAGTTTTCAATCCACTTTAGTTGTTTTCAGCTCTGCATCAAACTTGGCTGTTCAAAACCACCCCCTGCAGCTTCCCCGATGCATTGACGGGACGGGGTGGGGTGGGGTGCGGTGGGGGGGGCAGGGTGGGGGTGCTCACTCCTCCAATACGCACGCTTGCAAATCTGTCACTGCAGAAGGTGCCTGACAGGTGTGTAGCAAGCCCTCGCGCGCCGGTCAGCACGGAGATGTCCTAGACAAGTCAGACGCAAAAATGATGCCAATTGTGCTTCATCATTGCGAAATGCCCGGTCACAATCTAACCAAGTTTTAAAACAATTTCCTCACTGTCAGACTGCCAGTTGAGTTCTGTCAGATGACTGTGTTCCCGTGGTGGGAAGCTGAGAGAAAGCATTTCCAAGCTCACTCTCCCAGCCCCATTCCCCCTCTGAGCTGTGTGGTAAATTAGCAGCCTGCGTTTTGTACAGTATGCCTTCTCTCCTCACCTCCAAAGACGCTCCTGATTACCGCGTTTCCCCGGGCTACGCTAACGAGACGCCCGCCTGTCCCGCGTATGAATTAGAAAGAACCCTAATTCCTCATTTCTTCCGGGCGTGTGATTTCTGCCATAGACAGGCCTGCATTGCCTGTGTTTTCCGTCGGTTTCATGCGAAAATGACACCCCGTGGTTAAACTGTCATCCCACGCTGTCGTTAATATGGCGTGCTACCATTTCAGCAGTGCAGCCCAATGCGAGATCCCGGTGACACTTTGACTGACGCTCCATATATAGTGTTGCTTGTCTAAACGTCAAGGTGGCTGTCTGTTGGGCCCATGTATTGCCTCCCAAAGCTGCACACGGATAAAGATAACTTGGAGGGGGGGGGGGGCTTAAAGGCACGTGCCTTCAGCTGCAATATCAGCTTCAGAGATGAGTGAGGTGAAAGCCTGGCCACTTCACATCACAGAGTCCAGAGTCAAAGCGAAATATAGGCTTAGTCATCAGAACTAATATAGCCAAATATAGCATTACCCAGCATCACCCTTTACACGCAGCAACACTGCAAGACAACCGGATGGGTGTTTGTTCTAGGCTCATGGGAGACCGTGCTCTTGTACCTGATGTACTTAACCTGATTGGCTTCACCAAGAGAAGCCAATTTATAACCTGCGAATCGTATAAAATCATAACTCCCTTTGTGTGCAAGAGCTACCAAAGCAACGTAATAACAGTAATAATAATACAAGTAATTATTACCAACTAATTGCAGTTAGCCTCTTATGTTAAAAATTAGTAAATGTTCCGTAGATAGACATCCACACCCATTTACAGCTGCTCGGATGGCTGGAAGTCAATGATGAAAAACAAGCTGTTAAGTCATAAAAGGGGAACAGCTACTCCCAGAGCCCAGAATACATGAATATCTTCATTCCTTTCCTATTACTGTAATAAACAATGTCATTTCAACTTTGGACTTAACTCACATTGACTTAAAGGCTTTTCTTGGCACTGCCTTTGGTCCCTTTGAATAACCTGTGCCAAACTGTAGTATTTTCAGCATGAATAACAATCTGAGGCAGATTTCATTGAAATAAATGGCATGTTATTAGGGGCTCTGAATGCTGGTGCTGGCAGCTTCCTGCTTGATAGCAGTACTTGTGGATACATGTGCAACATGTGTGTGTTTTTGCCTTGACTAGGGCCAAAATTGCATGGCTGCCCTTTACTACATCTGTGATTTGCTCATAAAATGACGTCTTTCATTTTTTAAAATAAATAAATGTATATGTATATATATATATATATATATATATATATATATATATATAAACACAAACCCGACAGCCATGCTGAAGTGGATTAATGCATTAATGTATTTTATTTTTGGTTGCAAAGCATTCGTTACCTGGTATATTATTCTTTGCAAGACACACAAACTTGAAAATGCAGCTTCAGTTTAACTATGCGAACTGTAGGCAGCAATGTGCCGTGCCCATTGGTTGAGGAGCAGTGCATCCACTTTAATGCTGCACTGGTTTTGTCAAATCAGGTCATGGCACTGTGTTATACTGAACCAACACTGCAGGCCTGCACTGCAACTCCGCTATGTCCAAAGTAGTCATTTGATAATATCTCTTCCTTTATTGTCAGCCTGTATCATGAACTCCACCAATCATACGATGCAAGATGAAAGCTCAGGAACAAGATTCTCCACGATCTGTCTTACTTGCGTAGCTAAGAAATTTGTATGAAGAACAGATAATACACAGTGTTATCAAATAATGCATAATTTATTCATAGTTTGCTTATTTCAGTGTGCCTTGTATTAGTGAAATAACAGTTCAGCTTTTCCTTAGCAGTGCAGAGGTTGCTGTTGGCTAATTTAATCAGCACAGACTAAGATAACTTTCAACATACTGTGAAGTCATTGTACCGATAAGGTCATAATCTAGTTATATAGTGAATATTCATAATTTGTTCCTTTTTTCTGCACCTTTAGTGTTAGCAGTAAGGATGAGCCATAGCAGACACAGCACACATCTAGAGGGAGACACAGCACACATCTAGAGGGAGACACAGCACACATCTAGAGGGAGACACAGCACNAGACACAGCACACATCTAGAGGGAGACACAGCACACATCTAGAGGGAGACACAGCACACATCTAGAGGGAGACACAGCACGGTTTGCTGACATAAACACCAAAAATTAGGTCTGTTGTTTTAGAGAATTCTGCAGCCCACTGAAAAATTCATCTGTTGTTTTTTTTTCAGATGTTAAGTTTGTTTTCCCCCAGGCAAGGAAAGGATGGATGTCTTTCTGTAGTCCATCTTGGAATGGGCCAGGACCACTTCTGCTGCCAGGTATTGCTAATCTGTTCTCTCTGATTTCCAGCCTCGCTCATTTGAATTTTTGGATTTACACCTGCTATTATATTCCATCCTGTCATAATGTACTGTAACATTTTAATCATATTGGTCTCATTAAAACGAATTGTTGGTATCGTGTTCTCTTTTAAAGGGTTATGAAATGTGCGTGAAATGTGCCTCTCTTAAGGTCAAATCACACAGTACGGCACTATATGGGGGTGAATTATTGATTTTTATTGTTATTACTCTGAAGCTCTATGGCACAGAGGGCCAAACAATGAAGAGGATGCCATGTGAAGTCAAGCCTTGAACTTTGCCTTGAGATGACTTTATTAGCACTTCGGTGACTGTCACCTCCTCAAGCATGCATCCACGATACATCTCTGGCAATAATTAACCGGAATATAGACCAAATCTATACCCATAAATTGTTTATTAAGCACTTCAGAATGAGCTAGTCACTTGGTGATTAAGTTGCTACCCCTCAGATATTATCCTTAATTTTGCCTGTCTGACCTACTGTAAAACGCACTTTCAAATTTATTGTTCATGTTATACCTGCAGTTTCACCTCTGATATCCTCAGATCTCAGCATGACAAATAGGAAACTATTAATATTAACAAGTCGGTGAAATGGTGTGGTCACTTAAGATGGGTGAATTTGGTACACTTCGATTGAGTCAACATCGACCTCTCAGCTGAGGTTAGTTAACATGGCTAGAGAGCTGGTTTACACCAACAGTAATCATCGTGCAATAGTTCATTGTCACACAATTTTGAATATGTGATTTGTCAGATAAATTTCAGCAACCATGCATTCAAGTTTATGGATGGTACTAATTAAATTACTGATTAATCACAATAACTGGCGTCCTGTCCACATGCTACCACAGCCTGGTACCCTATACTGATTGCACCCCCCCCCCCCACACACAGTTTTCATGGTGGCAATGAGCAGAAATACTTAATTTATATTGCTTCATTAAATGTGGATTTCTGCAAATGGATTTTGAAAACTGTACTGTAAAGAACAATGATCAAGGAAAACAAGACACAGTGAAAAGTGATAATTGGAAAAGTCTACATTTCAGGTTTTGCTGTATTTTGTATAAATGAGTTTAACTGAGAATGCATCTTTACCTGCAATTTAATACTTTTAATGATGGCCAAACATTAATAAAAACTAAAATATCAGAGATCAATTTTTGCAGACTAATTGAACCTATATATATTTAAAGTTTTATTTTTGTATTTCTTCAGTCTTTGGTTCATCCCTAGTATGGATTTCAGAGCTCCATTTTCAGATATGAGCATGTCTCTATCACACTGTGGCATAAACAAATCCCAAAAATAGAGGCATTTCGTGAAAGTTGCCACGGACTTTCTGGAAAATGTCGTCTAGGGGCCATCTCTCTTCAAAGGCACCCAAATGTTTTTGATTTAAAAGGACCGCGTTAAATTACTCAAGCCGACTACTTATGCACTGTCAGGCGTGTAAAAACAGCGCACTGGAAGCGCCAGGGCCGTTTGGCACACGTGGCCCATGCCCAGGCTATGGCACGTCAACTTTCACACATTTTCTAGAAAGAGAGGAGAGCGGCGTGAATAAAAAGTGTGTTGTGGGCTTGGGAGAGTGGAATTAATCAAGTAGGAATAAACAGAGGATGGGACTGACCATTAAACAAAAAAAACCCTATTTATGACACTGGCAGTCATGAAACTGAGCAAAAGTGTACTTGATTCATGGTGTGATATACACTAAGTTCTGTCCCTGCACTAAATGTGGTCATATGTCAACTCAGCTTGGTTCCCCTCCTTTTTTTACCTTTTTAATCTCTGGGAGCCTTCAAAACACCGTAGAATGACTTATGCCCAGACACACTGACTTCTCTCAAAACCCTTACAGGATTTTCTACATGTGTCTCTTTCCTCTTTCCCCTTCCGAATTTATGCCTTTAGTTATTTTGCTCACAGTGATATTTTGCAGTCAACGGAAGCAGAGCTTTGTAAAAACATTTGTCATGAACAAAATGAAGGAAAGAGGCATGGTATCACCCGAGCCACTATGCTGAAATAACTCCTGCCCGCTGGACACTCACTGGTGGCGTTGTTAGATGGCTGATTGATAACAGTGGACGGTTAATCCCTGGAAATCCAGACATGTTGTCTCTGTACCCCTCAGCACTTTTCTTCCTTTGTGCCTTTAATGTGAGGTAATGTTTTACGTGCCTAATGCATGGGCCCACCAGTGCAAGTGAAGCGTGAGAAAATCCTTCATCACTCCACTGGACGAGACAGAAGCGGCAAAGCTTCATTTTTTACAATTTTTTTTTTCTTCTAACGGAACGGTGTTTCAGATCAACCAGAAGTGACCTGTGGACCCGACGTGGGCATGGAGCCAAGGCAAATAACGAGAGCTGTTGGTATTACATCATTACGATGATGCAACATCACACATAATGAGCAGAGGATTGGTGAAGCACTTCTCATGTCGGAATCGGGCAGCTTCAGTGGGGCTGGTGTGGACAATCTAGGCCTTTGTCAGCTGCATTTTCTGGTCTGCTGCCTTTTCCCTGTCGATCGCAGTCAGCCATCCCGGTTTGCATGGCGCTGGGACGGACCTCAATTTCAGTGTGACCTTGAGCACCGTCTCCCCTCTTGCGTTCTATTAATTAAGTTAGACCCCTTGTAATTCCCGTTTTTTAATCATTCATTTGAGAACTTGCCAGGTCTTTTTTTTTTCTCCCGGGGAACAGTGAAGGAACCTGCAGGATTTACATCTGTGATCAAGGGACCCACAGGATTACCGGGGGCTCTGCAATGAACAGCTCCACCGATCACCCCCCAGATATGCAGCCCTTCAGACAAAAGGCACAGGAGTGCACACCTCCTGCAATAAGAGTACACATTCATTCCCTTGGATTATCTGTGCCGGCATTCATTTCGTAGATTGAACCCTGCATCTACAACATGATAAGCAGAATATACAGTATGCGGACTACATTTTGTTTTGGATCCACTGCAGAATTGAATAATAATAATGATCATTTCAATGTGCTCCTCTGATTTCCAGATCATGCATGGTGACTCCCTACTGTTTCATTTGTTTAAATGATTGTGGTATCAATCTATTAAAAAATATATTGTTTTTTTTGGAATCACTACACTATATATACTTCTATATTGCTTCTAGTTTCACTAGACAGACAGACAGACAGATCTGAATGGATAGAAGTGAGTCATCCCTTTACACCAGTGTCATTACTGCATTTCAGTTAAGTGATTATATTTTCATTTTATGTGAGACTGCAGTATAGATTTGTTTAATGTAATAAACGTTTTATTAGTATTTCATATGAAAAGTATATTATTTTTAAACAGTTTTAAAAAGCTTAGTGTTGAGCTAAATATATATTTTTTTTAATCCAACTGTTTACATTCAGAAATCCTGGTATTATGGTGAAATATCTCATGCTTCCTTTGAAAGGGCAGTTTACTCATGGTGTGAACCGATGGCGCTCGTTTGGGCCTGATGCCCAGTTCACTAGCTGGAAATGGAAAGCAAATCACTTGGGCTTATGCACGGTTCCGGTTGTGATTCCAGCCTACCTGCAGTTCAGCCCTGCCAGTGGTAAGGATTTCTATTTTCAGAATGTACCCGTGACCCACTGTTACTGTAAGTACACCACTGCTTCTACAGACCACAAAATGCCACATTTTTGCTTACATATGGAACAGCACCAATACTAATTTTATTCACAGGGATAATGTTTTATGCGCATATTTAATTTACTTTGACATATTTACTTGACAGGCACTAAGCACTTAGAATGATAATAGCTAGCAGGATGGCTAGCTTACCAGTGACATAGCTAAATGCCTTTAAATATTTAGTCCCACGCCGAAACATAATTACCGCTGCATTAGCGACACTTTAAAAAGAATGAATTATATAAACAAATCCATCATCCACTATTTTAGCAATTTCCATTAGCTTTCCAGTCTTGAACTTTGACCCAATAATTACAGCCCCACAGCTCATATGGCTGATTGTTCACGAGACTAAGTCTTAAATTGGTCTGAAGAACAAGTTACACATTAAGATGGAAATGTATGTTTAATACACAGATTTATGCTCGACATTTTGTGTGAATGTGTGTCACTGTGTCCCTTTACTGGAGAGGTGGTGGTTTGAAGATGAATGGACGAATATATGGTTAATTATAATAGGCTTTGATGTTATACATATCGGCAAGAGTTGAAGTAACTGGGGAATCTGTACAATTCGAGACAAGCGAGAAATTAATTAATGAGTACATTTCTCATGAAGAATTCACCAAGACACTGGAATGGTAATATAGGAAATTGTGATGTGTGATGGGAGATAAAAGTTTAATGCTATACTATGATGTTTTTCCAGAGAATGGAGAATCTGTAAGATTCGCTTGCGTTTATTTTAATGATTAACTTGCATTTGCTCATAATTAGATAGTCTTTAGAGCATAGCTCAGCACAGGTGCTGCCACTCGTACTTCCCAGTCTGGTCTTTGACCGAATGGTGGTGAGGACATCAAAGGGCTGGGAACTCCCCCACCTCACGTCGGGCCGCGATGGTGGCAAAGAAAGCATTAACCGTAGCCCTGAAGTGTCAGGTGAGCAGCCCGGTTTTGACCGAGCGACACCCTTGGGCACTGGACCGTTCTCCTTCAGCTCAACTCAAACACTGGCTCCAAAAGCTCCTCGACCTCCAGTCCGCTGCCAGATGACACGTCTAAACGGTGTCCCCCGGCCAGGTTGGGCAATGAGCGGCCTCTTGTTAGTTTATCCTTTGTAGCTCCTTATTGATTCTTCTAACACTGAACCTTCCAAGCAAGCTACCGATGAACTGCCACATTGTGAAGATGTGGATAGAACCATAATTCATTACCGGTTGAAAATAGAACATCATTGGAAAGATAAGGATAACAATGAGTTTCCATCCTGTGATAAATTACCAGCAGCTGTGTTATTTTCCAGTTCTTATATATGGTTCCTGTTATTGAATTCAGCCCGGGATAAATAAATGATCTGCCAGGGACCCATTTAAACCTACTACTCGCGGACTCATTTTCGGCCCAGTTTCAAACGACTCCTGATAACATCTTGAAGTGCTTGAGCGCAGGCCGACATAACATTTGTTTCTGACAAGAACCCGATGTCGTCTTATCAGTTTCCATTGGAGAGGCTGCAGACCTCATAACCTTGGCCCACGCGTCTTGTTCTTCATCCAGTATAAGGCCTGAATCAGTGAAAGGCTTTAGTTCTTGGACTAGACTCCTTCCTACAGAGTTTGATTGTGTGTCTGGATCATAAATCTGAGCTCCCTGAATGATATACCATTGTCTTTATATGTGGTATTGATTAGCTGACTGCAATGATCGTCCTTGAAGTTGACTAGAAACGTCTTCTTCCTGCTTCAGACATACTGTAAGCTCTATGAAGTGTTGCCAATGAGCTTATAAAAAACCAACTCGATTTTTGTGGGTTTGGTGTAATTTACACAAAATTTTCATTTTTGGACAAATGTGTGCTTCATTGCTACAATGAGAACTCCCAAGGCAGACAAGCTACCTAGAGTAATTAGCGCACTAGCTGTATGTGACAGGGTGATCTAGCAGAGCCTTTCACAATGTCACACCTCGGCTCTAATGAAAGCCATGTTCTCCATAGCTCTTTGTGAGCACCGAACGGTCGCTGGCCGCCCATGTCCGTAAGTGGCTTTGTATGGGCTGAGCCCGCTGACTTACCCTATCCCCGATAACAGACAGATATTAGCAATAACACATTAGCGCTTTTGTAATTGCCATCGAATGTCTCACTGCCTTGACCTCCAGACAGTAATCCCATGGTTGTGGATTCCGCATTTCGATTGCCGTAAGATGGTGACTTTGTCTCGTCGGTGTGGCATTTTCAGCATGTCACCAATCTTTAATAAGGTTTTATTGTTCAGTTATGCATATATGCACACTCCATGTGTTTATTACATAGAACATATATACTTGGTGCAAGCTCCCACTCCTAGTTCAGC